ATCGTTGAAATTTTGTTTTGCAAAATATATTTATATACTGATATACATATATATATATATATATATATATATATATTACGGTTTCTAAATGTTTGCAAAAGGGTTTTAATTCCCGGGATCCATGTGAGTAAAGAGTGCAACACTGTTCCTTGCAGCCGAGGGAGAGGTCCTCTCTTGTCGGGCARTGTTTGATCATTATRRGCTGAGAGGTTAAGTGTAAGACCATTAAGGGTAATACCTGATGGGCTAATCTTGCATATGTCCACAGTCCCTAGGTGTTACAAGGTGGTTTAGCCCAATGATCACTTAGGGTAAGTGTTGGGCCCACTAGGAGCCCATATGATGGGCTTCAGGGGGTGTACTGTTTACAACAGTGTATTCGGCCAGGCCTTGTAACAAAGGCTGGGCTGAATCCATGTGGCTAATGTGTAGATCAATGTTTGGGTCCCACGCCATACAAGGAAGCCTAACTGGGCAGTAGTTTGGAAGGCTAAGTGAGCACATGTCCTTAATGGGCTTAAAGCCTATTTCGAACTAGGCTGATTTGATCAGTTAAAAGAGGGGCAAATTCTGAGATTAGATTAGCTGATTTAGAAATTTCCTAATGGGATTAGGAAAATGCTGATCTAATCTGCAGATAAGATAAGGGTTTACCCTTACCACTTAAAGGGACTTCTGATCCCTTTAAGCCTATAAAAGGAGGGGGTGGCAACCTTTAGAGACACAGTATTCACATTCTCTTCAGAGCTAAAATCACAGAAGAAAGAATTCAGCAACCCTGCGAAATTCTTTCTTGCCGCCTCCTTCCTGCCATCGCCATACCTGCCAGTTCGATCTTCTGTTTCAGTGGGAGAAATCAAGATCGGATCTTGATATTAGTCCTTTGTGAAGGGACTGATTGGAAGCTGTGCTCATGTGCCGTTCTGCTAATTCTTGCGAAGGATTAGGTTCTTGGGAAGAATACTGTTGATTCTGCTCCATCCTGTACTGTGCCATATTTAGTGGGAGTAGTCTTTGGATCATTTTTTGGGCGTGAACACCTCCATTGGGAGATATTATTTCTCCGTATCAGGTATATCCCTTTCCTACTGCTTCTGTTCAGATTTGGTTCGGTTCTTGGTTCAAGATTGATCATTGAAAAATATGATTTTTCTAAAATAGGGAATTCAATTCCCAGTGGAGATGGGAGAAATTTTTGAAATTCGCCCAACCTGTTCCACAAGATTCAGGCGTCCATACGATGAATCTCCCATCCCTTCACAAGCACCTGGACTTACCTTTGGGTGTGGGTGTAGGGAACCAAGGTTGGCTGGCAAAAGCCTACACCAAAGTAATAGTGAGTAAAGTTTCTTTAAATACAACTGCTCTGGTATAAGACAAAAACAAATGTCTTATAGATTGGGGTCCATGACATTAAAAGCTTGATCAATGAATGTCAGAGGAGTGGTAGAAAGGTCTAAGGAATCAGAGGAGGTTGTGATGGGCTCTCAAGAACCACATTGGGCATTTGAAGTTACAACACTAACAAATTTGGAGTTAGATGACTAGTTAATTTGAAAGAATGATACTGCAAAATAACAAATTATTGCACCAATAGCACAATCAGATTGTCTCGAACTTGGATTCAAATCATATAATGTACTGATGTCCATTTACCTAGATATGGGCAAGAACATGACATGTTGGATATGGTATTTACACTAAAGATTGATGTGATGATACAGATAATGAATCCATTTTAAAATGTTTGGGTAAAATTGTAGCAGATACACATAAAGGCTATGGTTTTGATAAGAGAAATAGAAAGTTGAAGGAAAGTTCTCAAGGAATTCCACAGCCACTGAGACCATTGGATCACCCACAAAATGAGAATATGCTATTTAACTTCTCCATGTGGAGCCTAGATATTTGACTTTCTTATATGGTAAATATAAATATCCTTCCTCTACCCATGCATTCATTCCTCTATTAATCTTTTTCTTTGTTCTCCTTTGGTAATTCCTTAATTAACAGAACTGGTTTTGCTTTCACTTTCAATACTTGGTACATAATACATTTAATTTGGCCATCTCACCATTCTTCTTTGGAGACCTGTAATCTATTTTTACATCTTTTGCGATTTTTCTTTCCCGATTTGTTTTGTTGATTTTTTTACTCAAGCATTTGTTATTTGATTTATCAACAAAATTGTTAGAACTTAAGTTTTTAACCCGTATATTTTGAGAATTTGATGTTGTAAATGCAGATAATTCATTTCAAACTTGCAGTGTTCTACTAAAACAGATGTAGTTCTCAAATGTTCATAATGCAAGTAGTACCATCAGGACCCCAATTGAAAACTCACAAGTGCATTAAAGTCAAAGTCCAAATGCAGAATTTGTATGTAAAATGTGGAAGGATATGATGGTACTAAAGTGAAAACAGGGTAATTTTTTTTATGATTTCTGTTTGAGGTAAGAATGTAAGATACAATGGAGCAAAACAACATGGTTCAATGGTGTGCTTATGCAGCATTGTTACGTGGCAGAACTTGTTTGGTTCCTCTAGACATTGACCTTCAAATCCATTCACACAATGACACAAACACCATGAGACATCCAAGTCCAATCAATGATTACATGTCAACCAAGAAAATCCACTGGACTTCATATCAACTAAGACGGTAGTCAAGAAGATAGTGACACTTGGGTGACACCACTGTCTCAATCCCACTAACAAATAGCTAGAGTTGGCTTCAGGGAAATCTCCAAACTCAACTAAGCTCAAATAACAGCTCAACCCAAGACACCAAAGAAAGAAAAATAAGTGATCTTAATGTAAATTGAATTTCCCTCCAAGAAAAAGACAACCAGAAGTAGTTTAGCTAATATTTTTTCCAAATCAGGCATTCTTTAAACCAAAAAAAGTAGTTGAAAATTGAAATGGCATACTAACTAAGTTAGAAATTTTGGTCACATTCCGAACGACATCAACTAACACAAAAACACAAACTAAGAAACCAAAATAGCTTGCTGCATTTACATAACATTGCTATAATGCTTATTATTACATATTTTGTTTAATATTCCTGTGAGGGTCACATAAAAATCAATCAACCAAAAATAACAAAACATTCCACAGCATTCACATGTTAATGTTTGTTGACTCCTACTCTCTATGCTCTACTCTCTACAATGGACAAGTTGTGAGTCTTTACTTTTTTTCAGAGTTAAGAAATCTAATGTTAGTGGATGTATAATGGCTTAGTCGTCAGAAACCTCCTGTTGGTTATTGTGAGTAAAAATACCATGGGATTTTACATGATGAGACTAATTTTAAGATATGTTATCTGGATTTGATTATTGGCCAATCTAATGGCTCATTCATTAGTGGATGTTTAATGGCTTAGGCATCAGAAACCTCCTATTGGTTATTGTGAGAAATTACCATGGGATTTTACATGTTGAGACTGATTTTAAGACCATGTTATCTGGATTTGAATACTGGCCAATCTAATGGCTCATTCAAATCCTGTATACAAAATATACACAAATTTCATACCTTGGTAGTCATATTCCGTGAAAGTGTCCACTCCTCAAAATCCCTTCTCTTGCCAATCCGTCATCTAGAGATCATTGAATGGTATGGAAAAGGAATGGAAGTAGGCTACCTCCAGACTATTAAACATCGGTTTATTTTCATTTCTTTTCACCAAATGCATCAGTTTATTGTTTGAATATAGAAAACAAGTATACCTACTGATCATTAACCATTAATGTGATGTTGCGAGGGGCTGATTTTATGTAGCCCAATCATTGGTATAGGAATCTGATTCCCCCCTCTCTTCCTGTAGAAAAATCAACCTCAACTTTGGTGGTTGTTCCTTGGGAGCTTGGGCTTTGGGGTATAGGTGGAGCTTTCAGAAGACATGATGGAGGAATTACTTTGGTTTTCTCTGGTCCCGTTTGGACAGGAGACTTGATTAGAGATGAGACATTTGTGCTATTAGATGGTATGAGATTGACATATTTTTGGGAGGGTCTAGACCCTTGCCTTTAAGAGTGAACATCTTGTTCAGATGGATCCGAAGGTTAGCAAATAACAGGTAGGTTAGCTAGAGAAAGCTTTGGCGTGTTATGTTGGAGGCAGATTTCCTGGATAGCAGCCACAGTATTTTCTTGTTATTTGTAGAAGAATTGGCAGATTTGCCTTCTCTCCTCTTGGAGGATGAGCTGCTTGCAACGTTACTGTTCTTTTGATATTTTATAAATATTTATTCGTATGGATAAAGAACAATTAATATCTTTGCTAGGTACGTCTATTTAGAGATAAATATGTGTTTTCAAG